GTTACTTCTATTAGTTATAATAGTACAGTCTAAAGGTAAAGTATGATCATTTCTTTGGCCTTACTAATAAATGAAGTATAAGGTTATTATCATTAGTTTTACAATTGGTATATTTTAAAGGTATGATAATTTTCTTTGTTTTACCGATGAATAAAACACTGCAAATAATTTGCCATTTTATGAAATTGATGTAAAAAATACATACATTTTTGTTCAAGTATTGAATTAAAGAAAACAGTAAGGTTTCAGTGCAATTAATTTAAATGTGGGGAGCCATACAAAAATGTAAAATTAACTATGATATTAGATTCTTGTTTAATCTTAAGAAAGGTCACTTGTTTGGAGCTGAATTTTTCCTTTTTTTTTACTTTGTTTACTGCACAGTGTTAATGTAGGTTGTGGACCTGCTGAAGAAAGGGTACTCTTGACTGGATTGCATGCTGTGGCAGACATTTACTGTGAATGCTGCAAAACTACATTGGGCTGGAAATATGTAAGCTTTTCATCATTGTATTTGTTAAATTTAGATGTAGATGAAAGTTTTTTTTTTTGCATTTTCTTCACTGTTCTCTTCAATATTGTTTAAAAGCAAACATATCTTGTATAATAAATTTTATTTTTAAGAATGTCCATAAGAACAACAAAAAGTTACTAACAAGTGTTATTTCATATGTTATCTGTTTTCTGTGTAATGTTTTGTAAATACTTGTTTATCAAATGAAAAATGGATTTTTAAAATGGACTTATACCTCCTCTCACAATACCTTTTCTGTTATGATTACTTACTTCTTCTCACAGTTACAGTTATTCTTGATTTGGCTGCCCTCTAATGCACAAATTTTTCTCACCACTAGCCTAGAACTCCCACCTATTCCATATGTATACCATGTGGTTCAACTGCATTTAAGCATGTGACAATCCTCCACCAATAGGAGTGCAACACACCCTTCTATTGCAGCTGACTATCTCTATACAGTTGAACACAATCTTCACTTCTTGATTTGGCACAATAGTATTAAGACCTAGTGCTTGATTTCCTACTTTTTTTTTCTTTAGTGCATTTTGAAAATAATCAGTTACTGATTTTTGCACTTCATTCAGGCAGTATTTTGGTGGGCTTCCAGACACCTTGGAGTCTCATGTTGTTGATGGTTGTCTCTTACATTACCAGTTAAGAGGGTACTCAATTCCGGTCCTTATGTTCCTACACTCTAGATCTCTTCTTCTGGGCTCACAGCCATCAAATTCGTTTGCTGGCTTGTCACATACCAGGTGCCCTCAATATTGTCGTGGATTGTCTGTCCCATCCCAACAAGATTCTACCCATGGAATGGTCTCTTGACCCTCAGGTATTTGAATGGCTATGTTCTCAGTTGGATACTCCCCAACTAGGTACATTTGCCTCTCTTTTGAATGCCTAGCTTCCTCTATTTTGGTCCCCAGTTCCTCTTCCTTTGGCTTTGGATGCATTTAGCCAGGATTGGAAGGACCTTTTCATTTATGCTTACCCTAATATCGGTTTTCTATTCCAAGTAATGTTTCTCACCCAATTCACTGTGTGTCAGGTCCTTTTTGTGGCTTCTTTCTGGCTGGCTCAACTGTAGTTTCCACCCCCTGTCCCTTCTCTGTGAACAACCTACATTACCTTTCCCTCTCTCCCAGTCCCTCCTTTGGCAACCTCACTCAGTGGTGCTTCATCTCTCCAATCCCACATTCCGACTTCCTGCATAGCTTTTGTCCGGTCTCTTGCGAGGGGTTCAGGGCTTTCCATATATGTAGGCATCTCTGTTGTCCATTCAGCACCCATGTCTGTGTATCAGTGTAAGTGGAGAATATTCCATCATTAGTCTATCCCGCCTGGATTCTCCCTTTCCTCTTATTCCCTTCCTCATATAGCTGTTTTTACATGGTTGTTTGACAGCGGTCTGCTCTTTTCAACCATTGCGGGCTATAGGGTGGCCATGTCATCTCCCTTTCATTTTCCTGTTTTGCTGTGTAAGAAGCCAAGGGCATTGGGAGGTGACAGATCACAACAACTGACAAGATTCAGAAGAAAGATAGGAATACACAATATGGATAACCTAATTAACAGTAAGGGTGACATGAAAATATCATGACAAATGTACTGATTCTAATGGATAAACAAATGGGAGCAAGAGCCATGTAAGGGTGTTGTGCATGACACATAACACTACAAAGCACAGACAGGAGACAATCTGGATCAGAGCATAAGAAAATATGAGATATGGAAGGAAGGAAAATAACTACAGAGGAAAACATTTGTGTTATTCATTGGAGATTATCCAGGCCAGCATGTAGATCACCCCCCACACCTTGGTGTCATGCTACTTGCACCATCTGGCAGTTTCCTGCTCAGTTGGATATCATTTTCTCCCTGTGGCCATTCTTCATACGTCAAAACAACTCAAAATAGGTAATTTAGTTTTGTTTAATTTTTCTTTCAGTGGCTTACTTCACATGTTAGAAATCCCACTCTGTGGTGAGTGGTGTCTGTCCAGATTTGTTCATATCCATAATCTGCACTATGAGATCTATAAGTTCTATCACTCTCACTGTTGAGATGGAGTGTTCCACAATATCACTTGCAGGTTCTTCTTCACAGTATATTGTGTCATAAACATGTTTGTACCGGACCATACATTTATGGACTAACATGAGTAAAGCAGGAAGAGAATGCTGCCCATCTCTAACATTCCTTAGATTGCCAGAATCGGGAACAGTCTGCTTTTCAAAATAGGATTTTGTGGTCACCCATTGCACCTTTTCCAATGATACTTTCATCCAGTCTCTCCAACACATGTCATTTCCTCTTTTTTCTCAGTGAGGTATGGGAGTCCTTACCACTTTCAAGCTCCTAGCCATTGGGGTGGTGTATCATGGAGAGAGCTTCCTGAGTGTGCACAATTCCACTCAGTCAAGAATAGGGTGGTAGCATTCTGCCTGTGTTAAAGGCATGACTATCCTCCTGCTGCAGATATGGACTGGATTTTCTATCTATTTTGCAGTTAACCCTTCTGGCTGAAACCCTCCATCCTACTGCCACTTGGGTGACTGATTTTGGTTGGAGTTGGACCAGCCAACATAAGTCCTCACATGTGAGTGGGCTAGGAGCTTCCTCCAACTGCAGACTGGATGTTACATTCTCAATGCTGATTGGTTTTGGGCTGGAATTGCCCCTCCATGTTGCATTTCCACCTTCCTGACATCATCCAGATGTACATTCCCAGGATTTATTGTTCCAGGTTTTGTTGGATTTGAACACATGTTGGTTTAGGTTCTTGGAACAGAGGCTCCTTTTCTCTTCTGGTTCCTGCACCTGAGATGAATGGTTGAGGACCCTCCTCATGCCAGGAGCTGGTTGAGTTCCTCCTAGTGCCACTGGTCTGGACTGGAGTTAACCTCCCAGTTATGGTCCAACACACTCTAGCCACTCAACACACATCTTCCTTTTGGATTTGGGATGGATCACTTGTTCAACCCTTTGATTGGGACACAAAACCAGTTGGCTTCATGACAAGTATACCTGGTTTAGATGTGGAGCAGTCTCCCTTGGGTATGTTTCCTCTGAATAGAAGTGGTACACTCCATGGTGCTCTTCAGCTGCTTTTGAAGGGTGTTCATCTAGGTAATTTTACACTGGTCCCTCCACCTGCTCAGTGTGTGATTCTAGCTGTAATTATGATAGGAGTTAAGTAATTGTATTGGAAGTTAATATTTTCCTAAACTGAAAACAATATTTCTGAGAGATACTTAACTTCTCTCACACTTCCACTAATCCTCCCCACTTCTGGTGTTGTTTTTTGTGCCTAATCTCAAAGGGAAGATTGGATTCAACTGCATAGAGGGAGTCAACTGCAATAGGAGGGTGTGTTGCACTTCTAGTGGTGGAGGGTTGTTGCATGCTAAATTGCATGCTTAAATGCAGATAAACATGTGGTATACATGGAAATTAGATTAGAGTTCAAAGCTAGTGAAGAGCGGAACTTTACACACTAGAAGGCAATCAAATCGAGAATAACTGTAATCGTGAGTGGAAGTAAGTATCTATTGGTAATATGTTTTCAATGTAGGAAAATATTGACATATTAATCTTCCACGGCCCTCTAAATCATTGGAAAGAAATTTTCTCGCTTGACATGCTAGACTTATACCCAATAAGTTTGAGCTACTCATTTAGTTGCATAGAGCATGCAACAACCCTCCACCAATAGGAGCATGACACACTCTCCTTTACTCAAACCTCACTTTCTCAATTGTCACAATATGAGTCAGATGTGTTTCTTTGTTCCAATATTTTGGACTTTGTTCATATATAAATTCTTGCATTCTGGTGTGTTACTGACTTTTAATTATCATTTTTACACAAATTGTGAATAATGAATTCTCAATTTACCATTTTTATCACCATGACTCCTGAAGTTATTGTGGGAACACAAACTCTTGTTACCCAGGCCTTGGGATTGATGTTGTCTGCTGAAAAGATGCAAGCCTTGGTTTGATAATAGTTAGCTTCTTACATGGGGCCTGCACGTTCTTCTCCACAATGGCCAGTTCCTCTTCAATGCCTCTGGGGCTCTAATTCTGAGGCTTCTGTATCATTTTTACAGGCACAATTTTTGAGAATTTGTCTTATGCTTACTAACATTTTGCGTTACCTCTCCTCTTTGCACCTTATGTCCGAGGCCTTTCATTTTTCTCCCGAATCATTTTTTTAAAGGACCTCACATCCCTTCTATGGTCGTCTTTGGCGTGGCTTTCTTTGTCAGCCCTTTCCCTACTTATCTGGCTGCTTTGTTGTTGGCACTTGTTGGGGAGAGATGCATTGCTTACAGGGATTCATCTTCCCTCTGGGACTTATGGCCCCATTTTTGTGTCCTGACCTTTTGAAGTCCCATGTTGATGTAGTCAGGTTGCATACTTCCATAAATAATCGTTTATCACAACCTTCATCCTCCACAGCTCCTGATCCTATTCCTGTTTTCCATCCTCCTGCATCCATGCCTCATCCTTTACCCGCATCTTGACATTCTTGTCCTTATCCTTGTTTTCCAGTGCCCATCAAGAACATCAAACACGGTATAGGTGACTACACAGTGAGTTCAGGTCCTGTGGGGGCCATGCTCCAATGCTTTGTTGACCTTTGGGAAACCTTCACTACCAATCTGTGGGTTTTGCGGGTTTTGTCAGAGAGTCTCTCTCTTCAATTCCAGTTGCTGCCACCTCTTTCCTTGTCTCTAGTTCCTTTCCCTTCTCCAAGAGATCCTGTCTCAAGTGGCTGTCTGTCCAAGGCAGTGAGAGACCTTCTCAAGGAAGCTATTGAGCTAGTGTTTCCCATTCAGGCAGATGTTTACTCTCAGCTTTTTGTTTTCCCCAAGAAAACTGGGGATTGGAGACCCGTCATCAACCTCTTTCTTCTAAATCGGTTTCTGGATCCTCCTCGTTTCACCATGGAGTCATTTCTGTCCCTTTGTAAGGTTTTTCACTCTAGGTCTTTGGAAAACCAAGTTTGATGTAGTGGATGCATACCTTCATGTTCCTATTTTTACATCTTCATTTTTTTATTTGTCAATGAGGGGTTTGTTTTACAGTTTCAGGCTCTTCCTTTTAGGCTTGCCTCAGCTCCTTACATGTTTTGCTAGGTAGTCAAGACCTTTGCTTGATGTCTACATTCATTAGGACTCCAGTCTCTTGCTCCTAGAGGAGGCAACTCATGTTGATTGGTTAATCAAAGTGAAGTCCATTCTTTCTGTTACAAAGTATCTTGTTCACTTGGGAGTGTTCTTCAATTCTCACCTCAGTCTGGCCCATCCTTCTTCACTATGTATTCAAGATATAGAGCAGTTGGTCATGAAGGCCCTATTCTCTCATTCTCTTCCAGCTTGAGAGGTTCTACCTCTTTTGGGGATGTGGGCTTCCTTGTAAGCTCTCATACCCCACGATTGTACTCACATGTGTTCCCTCCAGTAGGAATTCCACAATCAATGGAACCTCAGGTTGTATCTCTTAGATCAAATGGTTGTTCTTCCTTTTTTCCCATCAGACTAACCCTTCTTGACAATACTATGGCTGGTGTTCCTCTTCCAACTCCTCGTCCAGACCTGCATCTTTTTACCAGAGCTTCTCTCATGGGTTGGGTTGCATATCTTGATAACCAGGAGGTTTCCAGAAGTTGATTGGTGACCGGGTTTGTGCTTCATGTCAATGTTTTGGAGCTCTTAGCTGTTCGTCGATCTCATTTCCCACATTTTCTGAGGGGGAAGGTGATTATGGTGCATTCCAACAACTCTACAGTGGTCTTATGCATCATAAAGCAAGGGGTTACCAAATCCAGGTCCCTTTGTTTTCGGACTCTGGAATTCATACTCGGATCCCATGAGCACCAGATACAACTCTTTGCTTACCATTCTCCAAGTGCTTTGAATCTTGTTGCAAATCGGTTATCACGTCCATACAAGGCCAGTCCGATGGAGTGGTCCATATATTCTCAAGTCAAACACATTTCATTTTACCAGATTCTATCGAGTCTTATCCTTTCCCTCTTGTTCTATCTTTTCATGTTCTTCCTCTTTGCCGTGCTTTTTCTGTGCCTGATTGGGATATAAATGTTGTCCTTTTTGCCCTTTTCCAACTGCCCTTTGAACCTTTGTTTTCATGTTCCTTGTATCATCTTTCTATCAAGACCTATTTCTTTCTCCTTCTGACTTTCAGTCGTCAGAGGTCTCTCCTACAGTTGACTTGGAAGTTTGTCCAATAGATGCTATTTGCTTACTTCCTCATCATAATTCTGGTTGCTTGCAGTATAGCACTCTGTTTTCTTACAGGACAGTTGGTGTATATATTACTAATAGTTTGCTTACCCTAGCCACCATACACTGTATATACTGGTTTTGATCTTATGTGAGGTTTTCCACCTTGTAATACCGAGGATGGAACGTGGAACCTTGTTTGTACAGTTGGGTTGAGTTGTTACCTAGCAATGTCTTGTTGAGTGCCTCTATCTTCATAATTCGGGGAACTAGCCGTTGGCTTTCCATTTTTTTCTGTATGGATTTGGAGTTACCTATCTGTGTCCTTTTTTATTATTATTATTGTTATACTTGTGACTGTTATCCTACTAGAGTTGGTTTGTTTCCGGTCACATTTATACAGTTGAGGATGGAGTGGGACTCACATTGATTATTTACACCTAATACATTGTTTTCTGTGGTCTTTCTTTTACTAGCTCCAGGTCTCAATGCCAGCCATTTTACAACACTTCACTTCTTCGAGGGCAAAGAGCATACCTGTTCCAGAAGTGGTGCGGTCCCCCACGTGCGCTTCTATTCAATTACAGAGCACACCTGTTTGATTCTCTATAGACATTTTCCTTAGGGGTCTCCTGTTTTATCTTACACTGGTCCCTCCACCTTCTCGATATCAGATTCTAGCTATTGTGTGAGAGGAGGTATGTATCCTATCGGAAGTTATCATTTTCTTACAGTGGATATAGATTTCCGATAGATACATACCTCATTTCACACACACTTCCCACCCTTCATTCCCACTTTCGGTGTTCTTCTGTTTTTTGTGGGCTTAATCTCGAAAGTGAGGTTCAAATAAAGTAGCACAGAGGGAGCCAGCTGCCTAGGAGAGTGTGTCATGTTCCTGTTGGTGGAGGATTGTCACATGCTCTATGCATGCTAAATGAGCAGCTCAAACTCATGGAGTATAAAGACCAGTGAGAAAATTTATTTTCACTGCATTAGAGAGCAGTGGAAGATTGAGAAAAGCTATTGTGTTAGGCGAGGTAAGTATCTGTTGGAAATTTATTTTCAGTGTAAGAAAATGATAACTTTTGTTAAAATGACCAAGGAAACTTATAATATGTCCAATCTAAACCCCATAAAAATGGTTTTGATTAAATTTGAATAGTAAGTAGTGTATAAAATTTGAAATTTTCTTGTTGGATAGGGCTTCATCTTGGTTTTCAGTTTCTTGTTTCAGTTGGCCATCTTTAGCTTTTTAGGCAGTGAACTGTGCCATACTTCAACACAAACTTGTTATCAATGCCTGATAAAACAGAAGCAGGATGCAGAGTGAAACAACAGTTGGTTTACAGCCCATAAAATTTATTTTAAGCCTATATTTTGATAAAGTTCGAGTAAGAGGCCTGATGCCTTGAGTCATGCAGTACCCATATTGATAGCAAATATGTTATTGAATCATGCAGGACCTGCTCTTTTTATATTGTGTTGATAAAATATGTAGGAAGTCATGCTTTATGCATTGTGTATCATAGAAAATATTATTACTCTTTGATCAACAGTACACTGACCATATACATCTCAAGTAAAAAGTAACTTAGAAATTATACTTATTTTGTATAACATACTTACAAGAAGTACATAATGTCATAAAATCAGTGTGCAAAATAGTAAAATGATTAGAATGCATTGAATCATATCTTTCTTCTTGAGGCACAAACTGTTTGCCAAACTGCCAATTTGCCCCTGAAGAAGAAAGGTCTGCCCCTTTCAAAAGCCATCGAGTTATAGGGTTTTTATTTATTTCTATCAAGACTTCTTGAACCTACGTGTTTTTCTAACATCATGATTGAATCATATCTATTAGGCATATTTGCTAGTAATAGTATTTTTGCCATAAGTCCAAATATTAAGCTAACAATGTGAAATGATCATCATAAATAATAATCAAAAGGTTTTTTTAAGTATTAAACTGATAATATTAGTGAAACTAAATTTAAAAAAGAGTGGAATATGGCATTAAGTATAAAACACACTAAACCAGCCATTTTCTCCTAAGATACACACAGCTTACTAGTTAATGCACCACGCCTGTATATACTTACAAGCATTTATATAGTAGTGTACATCCAATGGGAAGAAACTTGTCAAACATACATACAAGACTAAAAGTATTAAATGTGCAATGTTACTGAATCATGTAGGATCTAAAATTTTTTTGTTCATTATGTATTGATAAAAATGTTATTGTATTATACAGGATCTGCAGTTTTATTCATTATATGTTATTGAATCATACGAATTACTTACAGTTTTATTTATTGTCACATACAGTTAATAGAAACTTTCTGATCTATACATATATTATATATATAAAAGTCTTTAAACTCCTCTAGTAAAGCAAATGTATTTCTAGTGTAAACTATTAATGTTTATATATATGTGTATAAGTTAAACTCAGAATTTACACATTATAAAACTTTTAACTTTTTTTTGTTAAAAGTAAATTTGTTCTGCTATGATTTAATCAAAATCATATAAAAAAAATATTTGAAATAAATTTGTTCTTTTCTACTGTTTTTTTGTTGTTTCTTCAACATGAAACATCAGTAAGTTGTCCAAAGTTGAAATTCCACACTATTTCAACATAGTGGGTACTGTGTAAGTGGCATTAAAATGTTGTTACTGAAGAAAATGTTTGGTGTAAATGTGGTAAACAGAATGTTTGTGATACATTTAGTAAACAGAAATTTTGTAGTGGATGTAGTTAAAAGAATATTTGTGGCACATGTGGTGAATACTTTATGTGATACCTATCTTAAATACATACTTATACTTATATACATAATTTTATAAATACATTACTGTTAAGATAATATTTATTGTAAATACATAAAATACTTATGGTACATATTATAAATATAATATTTGTTGAGCATGTGTAACTGACTGTAAGAAAGCTAGTTTTATCTGAGCATTTTTTTTGTGAAATGAAGAAGTCACTTGTTTTAAAACCCACAACCAAAGATGCTGCTTTTTATCAGGAACATGCCTTTGAATCCAGTCAGAAGTACAAAGAAGGAAAGTTCATTATTGAGCTGGCTCACATGATTAAAGAAAATGGATGGGACTGGTAATCTTAAGGTTTGTTGCATCTTTAGTTGGAACTGACTATAGTAACTTTGAGAAGAATGTGAAGTAGAACAGTGTGATCTTTCAGAAGGTTAACAACTTCACTACCTGTATACAGTTTTGTATAATTGACAACTTGTATTTTTCCTGCTCATTTATTTGATCTGGCTTCATCATTGCCGGGATATATCCTGTTCGAACCTTTTGTTGCTCAACAAATAATTATCATTATATCTTATCCTTGTATAAATAGCAGTTAGCGGGGTTGAAAAAGCATGTTGAAAGAAGACATTTTTGTACATAATTGTCATCAAATCATGAGATTTAGCTCTCATCAAGGGTCATTTATTCTACTTTATATATATACTTATTTGATTTTAAACAGAGATAAATGATACTTATGTTTATTTTTTGTATATACTTTGCATTTTCTTGTTTTAGAGAAATCTTAGTCACAGTAGATTGTACTGGATTTGAAGTTTTCATGGATTGCACCTGTCTGGAATATAAGAGTAAATAATATTTCCATCTTTATGAAAAGTTTTCATTAACATTAATTGTTTTGTGTGTGTGTGTGTATTTGACAATGGTTTGAAGATTGTTATGAGTTTGTCAATTTTTTTATATATTCTGTGTTAAAGGAAGGTATGAAAGATTCATTAGGGAAATTAAAAACTTTAGTTGAATCATCTGTATTCAGTATATCAGAAAATTGAATTTCTAGTTGTTGTATGATGGACTGTAGTTACTTCCTTTTTCTACATAGTTGGATTGTTGTGTCTAAAATTTTATATAGATTATTTTGCAAGATATTTTTAATTTTATTTGGCATAATAGAAGTTTAAGTTGTAGGTTCAAACACTGGAGGCTGCATGGTATCAATAAAAGTCAGGTGGTGGTTGAATCTGGTGACTTGATGAAGGTCTCAGCTTAGAGCTTGTCATCAAGGCAGACATAATCCATGAAAAATCAAAATTCAATACTTTGTGTCATCTTTTCATAAATTGAATTTTGTATTCAGTGAAGAGGCTTGATTTAGATGTTTAGATATTTTCAAGATGTGTTATAAAAGAACTGTATCATTAATAAAACAAAAAAGTAAATTTTCTTATTGGGATTTCTGTCTTATGGAAAACAACAAATCTAAATTTTCTGTAACTGAGTTTCATTCTCAATCTAGTATGAAAAACAATCTAACAGTAAATTTTGCTACCATTGGGGGGATCTCTTAAAAACAGTACAGGTTTCTTGTATCTTTATATATATATATATATATTATAAACAGTTGCTATCTCTCGTGTGAAGTGTAATGTCTGTTTTGCTGGCAGTATTTAGCTTCTGTTTTTGTCCTTGTCATGCAAGCTTTAAACATATCATCATCATCATCATGAATATATTTTACCTCTAAAGCCTTAAAATTTTGAAGATTCTGTTAGTATGTAACATATTCTTGAAGTGGGGAAGTAGAGGTAAGGTGAGTAGTTAGTATAGTAATCTTATTGAAAAGTTACTGAAGTTTTGTTTTTTATTCAAATATTTTAGAAATAATTATGATAGTTCCCATGAGAGAAATTATTTTTGGTATGTGTTATGATCTGAGGAGTTTTGCTCATTATTGTTGTTGGGTATGGTAAGTGTTAAGTTAACAGAAAAGAACTGCTTCTTTTAATTACTTGCCAATGTACTAGTAGAAAAGTGATATATTAAAATGAATCTACAATTTGAAAAATATTATTAATGTAGTTATCTATTGATATGTGGTCAATACAATATTAGAATTTAAAAAAAAGATTAATAAACTCTTCCTTCAGTTTGTCTCAGTGAAAGAAATAAAAAGTTCTTTTCAATTTTAAAGATCCTTGAAAGTATGCTGTGTTACAACTGTTCAAATGTAAAGAGACATTTTGGTAATTTAAGCCTTTATGATCTGAGTACTCTTGAAAAAAATGTCATGTTCCTGTTTATTAAAATTGAATAAATTACTAGTTATCTTCTGGTAAAGCACTATTTGAAAATGTTCCTTTATCAGGCTCAAATCTGATAATTCAATAATATTTTTAGAAATGATATTGATTTTATTATTTAACATTAAAAATGATTTTTGCAATTTTCAGAAAGATTATCTTGAAATTTGCATCATCGGTTTATTTTAGTGGTGCTCAGTTAAATCAATCATGCAAGTTATCCTGGTGAATACAGGATTAACATTATATACAAAAAAAAATTCAACTTATGCTCAGTTCGTTAGAGTAATATTCAAAAAACTTAATTATTAGGTGTATTTGGTCTGCAAAGTGTTAAATAGTTTCACACTATTTCTCCTTATTACAAGTTTCAAAATTATTGTTCATTTATTTTCTAAAAGGTTTTTATCTTGTTTGAATTTAGCTTCATATGACAAATATTTGACTGTAGAAATTCATGATGTCTTTCTGATTGGAAAGTCATAACTGTTGCATACAAAGAAATATTATAAAACAAATTGTAAAATAAATTACATCTAATGTAAACAATAAGACTTATATTTAACAGTGGAAACCTAGGGAAAATCTGCTTTGGATAATCTTTTTTGAATTCTAAAGGTGCAAAATAGTAAAGCAGCTGTATTTTTTGTTATTGTTTATAGGTTTAAGTGATTGTTTTTCATTTCCTAATGATGTGTTTGCTGATAATTTATTCTGATGGTATTTTTAGAACATTAAATGTCCATTCACCTTTGGACATCATAACTTTGTCCAGACTGCATATTTTTTCACTGTGCTTAATTTTATGTAATATCTTTTGAATTAAGTTTTATTATTTATATTACGCCAACTATCAATTTACAAAATTCATTGTTTCATGATCAAAAACTTTTTATTTCTTTTGTTAAATTTCATAAAAGTTTAGCAAATCTGTTGTTTTTAACATATGGTTTCACTTTAAGGTTGTTTTTGTACTTTTAAACAGTTGCATTACTTGTGGTGAAGGCCAGTCATCTTTTGTGATCTACATGAAAGTTAAACTTACTGTGAATAGAAAATGTGTATATAGATGTAACATTATTTACTAGTTAGTTGAAGTTTGTGTAGATGAGGGGAGCAAGTTAACGTAAATGTGTTTAAGCTATTCAGTTTTTCTTGCTACAAGATGTCTGAATGGGTTTTTGTAAAATGTTGCTAGGAGGTGTTATTCTATTTATTTATGTACATTCATTTGAAATGTAAAGCTATTACATTTTCAAATAGTGTTCAAAATAAAACACAGTCGCCAACAGTTTGGTGTCGTTCTCAATTCGTTCTGATGGGTTTTAGCAAGCACCGTTGTTTTATCCTAAAATAAGTACATAAAGAACTAGGGAGCAATCAAAACACTTCATTTTAATAAAACTTTTGAGGTAGTTTAATTTGTAAACCTTCAACATTGAATAAGATTGTGTATAAAAACTGGAAGTGATAAAGTTATACCTAGCTTTAAAAACCATAAAGTAGTTTCCTTACGAATTTACGTTTCTGTTTCAATCGTATGTTAAAATGTTTTTTTAAATTTGTAAGATGTAGGAGCAATGAAGTGAAGGTAGAAAAAAAAACTTACACCTGCAACAAGAACCTTAAAGTAGTTCTCATAAAACAATACTTAAGGCATTAGTTTGAATCTTAAGACAATATGTTACGTAAAGTTTTTTTGTTCCCAAGTGTATATAATGTATTCGATGACGAGGAACCCACTTTGAGACTAGTAATACTTGGAGACCTGATGATGACAAAACGTTATACATTTGCTGTTATGTTAAACTTATATTAAAGGTTTTTTTCATTACTCATTCAAACCGTCTCCAAGCATTATTTCGGTAGTGTGTAATGTTTTAAACTACACATTCAATTTTTAAAAACTAAATTCAGTGTTTGTCTTTTGAAGTTTTCCTAACAAAATGTCATAATTTGATCACTTCGTTTACTAATAGATGACGTCACTAATTTTGGTCAATAATTTAACCACTCGCATATTAATACTGTTACGTCTCCGTTCGTTAGTTAATTGATTTCCCGTAAATTCGTTCCGACGAAACTTTAGCGACACAAGTCCTTTCTTAATAAAACTGGTTTATTCTTTCCGAATACAATCTTCTGATACTGTTGCGTCATCGAGATCACATGACTACAGTGACGCCACGTTTCTAGAACTATCCCGTATCTTGGCGAATGCT